TTTTTATTTTATTAACTTTTATTTTATTTATTATTTTTTTACTATATTTACACCAAACATATAGTGACGGTATAAAAACTGTTTAGTATATAATAGTATAAAATAGTAGCTTTTCCATTAGTATATATAAATCTATAAACCATTATACAATTTCAAAAATATAAACATTAAACCTTTGATATATTGTTTTAATTTATGAAGTTTTATTTTGTTAATGAATTGCAGTGAATCAACGTTTGTTTACAATTAATATTGGCTATGAATACGTGTGCTTGGTTGTATAGTAATTTCCAGCCACTTCTAATCTGTCAAAATATAACTAATTGCGCACAAAAATAATTACTACACTTCATCTAATTTATATAACGATGCACGTCATCGGCGTTATAGCCTGTGACGTATTTTACACTAGACATATTTTATTATATACGCGTAGAAATAATATTTAAAAATTTCTATTAATGTTAACTTAAAGAAATACACAATAGTATGTTTCATTTAATTTGTATAAATGCATTATAAAGCGTTTTTATTAAGAACATTTGTTCGGAACACACTGTAACTGTAATCGAACAAAGCTAAAATTTTGGCATAAATTGGTAACAAATTTGAAATTGAATTGAATTGTAAAAATTTGACAGTTGCGGTGTTGACACTTTTTGTACTTCATTATTTTGAATTTTAAAGTGAATATCTCTTGTTTTATATTTTAAACTATTTAATAAAATCTGTTCTTTTTAGAACAAAATTAGTGTGTTTTATTTCAAAAATGTGACGTAAGAAATTAAATAGTCATTGTAAAGAGATGGTAATACTTTTGCAATAATTATGTAATCTATTTGATTTAAAATGGAGTCAGGATTTTTTTATACTTTGGCAACTATGTCAACTTCGATCTCTGACGTATATAATGACGTAAGTCGTTATCTAAATTAGATGAAGTATATGTAATTCACAGTTGGTGAACTGACTATACCATGATACTATGACTATAAGATAAGATATTGCGCATGTTTTTGTGACGTCATTGGAGACTTGCACGTTCGAAATGTCAGTTTTTGTATATATCAATAAATAATCTTTAATAAATAGTTGGAGATATCCTTATGTGTACGATGATTGTAATTATTAAACCTCTTAACTTATTTTCGACTAGTAATTTCATCCAGAATGCATACAAATCTCATTTAACTTTAACAAGAATTCAAATTCTAGTCTCCAATGACGGCATGCGCGAACCCGACCGATTTTGAGCTACGGGAAGATCCTATCTTGTTATTCATAGTATCATGGACTATACTACATTTTTTTAGTGTTTTTCTTACACAAACAGGTAGCTTTGAAAATCTACAACGTCCAGTCGATGTGAGGATGTCACAGTCCATAACAGAAAGATATAGTATGAATGTATACTCAACGAAATTTAAAAAAATATGTAAAAAATCCTTAATAAAAAGGATTTTAAAAAGAACCCTTTCGAGGTACATCAAAGAACGTTTTTGGACTGACAAGTCCATTCGAAAGTAAAAAGTAAATTTAGCAAAAAAACATTAATTCAAATTATTGGAAGTCATAGTAAGTTACTTTTAAGATGTATTAAAAACAAACCTCAGTCATTAATAAAATAGCATCAAAGACACTTGACAATTTTTTTCGTTATTCTGTGTTTAATACGGAGTGACAAAATACGTCTGATGAAAACTCAAGAAATAAAAAAGTCAAGAAGGAACGTAATTTTAAATTATCGTACAGGGAATTATGACCTTTAAAGCCATTCAATAAATTACTATTTCCTGAAGAAATTATCCAAACTTCCGTACTTTCAATTGAAAAGTGAAATTACCAAGTCCGTTACTGCGCTGATGCCGCAAATCGACCTCATCTGAAAAATACGCCAACGGTCGCAAATAAGCAGACTAGTGTCAGACAAGTCGGCACACTCAGTGTGGGAACCTGAACCAACGAAAACGAGAGTTTCATTGGGGCTCCGGGGGCCACACTTAGGTTGTGTTATGTTGTGTGGTATTCGCCAGTCTTCTTGAGATCCATAGGCGGGGACGACCGGACGGGAAGACGAACCAGACCATTTTCATACTTACAGAAAAATAATTTTGAATTGTTTTTAATTTTTTTTTTGTTTAGTTTTGTGTCGCTGTAGATTTTATAAATTTGATTAGGTTTCAAATCAGTTATAATCCACTAATATGTAAAATAATACAGCTGTTACGTAATTTATCAGTCGTCATTTGGTAATATAATCATAATATTGTGGCTTAGTTATCTTTATGCTAAATTATCAAATACCTAATTCTATTTTACTCCAATGATAGCATCAAATGTATTCAAAAATATTTTGATAGGTTGAAGTTGGCTGGATAAAAGTGTTTTTTTAATTCTGTCTTAAATATATCATAAGCCCTATAAAGCTTTTATGAAGAAAGAAATAAATAGAAAGCTCTCTGAAAGTATTTAAATTATAAGACCAAATAATTTCAATCAGCAAAAATAATAAGCAAACGTGGTTCACAAAACTTTGCACACTAAAACTGCTTCCCTATAATCTTCAAGGGTTTTACACTTTCTAGTATATGTAAGTAGGGTATGTTTTGTTGTTGTTGAGATTTGAGTGGTATTTAGAATGCTTTGGTATGGTCATCGCTGTACACGAAAACTCTGAAATTTTTTAAGATATCAAATGATGAATTAATATCGCTAAATTATGAGAAAGATGATGTTATATTAGGTAACTAACGCTGCACAACACTGCGTAGTACAATATGTATTTTGTTTATTTGACCGGTTTAAATTAGTCTACATCTTCCGCGTCGAAGATATCTCTCTCTCTCGCACTCCCACTCCGTTTGTCGCACTTGCTTTTTCGTTGTCCTTATCCCGGGTCGTTACACTATTGTTAGTTCGTTTCGGTTCAATGTCAATTATCTAATCTCTAAATTATTCTGCACAGACAGTTACATAGACTTGACAATGAAACTGTTTTATTAGGTGGTTTTTAATGTTTAAAAACTTTTTTGTGGATTTTGTTACATAAATTAGACGGTGAAATTTACTCCAAAAGAGGCACCTCGTTGGGGATTTTTTACCTTGGAAGTTTATTTTATTGATATAAAAAAAGCTTTTTTAACCAACACAAGATCTATTTCACAATATTCGAAATGTGTTTCAATTGAACTTTTATATTTATGGCGTAATATATATTATCAACATTTTAAACAGTGAAAGAACCAGTTACTTTTTAATTTGTTTTCGTAAATTTTCTCAGTTGGAATGCGTTTTCTTTTTTTTTCTACAACCGAAAATACACATGGATTGAGATCGAGAAGGTAAAGATGACAGCTATATTTGAGTCATTTGAAAATTGAGGTTAAAAATATAACAAAAATAAGAAAGCTGACTTCCAAAACAAAACCAGTCAAACTAGGTAAATTGTATGTATTTGTATATAAGACTCTAGAAGAAACTCTGATCATGTACACCATCAGGACCTCCAAAGGCTCAATAGTTGATTTATAAAAACTAAAGACAAGACTTCATATATTAGATGTTATAAGAAACAGTCGAGCAAAGTTTTTTTGCCACCTCACATAGAAGCCCAGAGAGCCCAGGGAAGGCACAAACATTCGTCGTTGAAAAATATAAAAGATTGGACTGGTTTGGACTCACATTCACTGATATTGTTAACAACTTTCAATGAGGAAGGTACCATAAGAAAAAAGAACAGACGATAAACTGTATAGGAATAAAAACCAAATAAGAACACATTGACAGCACGGAAAACTCAAAGGTTTAGGACATAGTTGGTCAAGACTTCACCTAAATATCAACAGAAATGTATAGTTTATAAAAAATATTTTATTTTAAGAATAGTTTAAGAATAATATAAATGAGTATACAATAAATAATATTGGATGTTTGGCCATTTTCCTATATCAGTATTATCAGTATAAGTTATTTTCCGCCTGAGTAACCAAGTGCATATTAACTGATCAAATACTAATGTGTCTAAGAAATACTAATTGTTGTTAATAGTTCATTCATATCAGACTTTGTCTATCTGTTTCATTCAGATATTTAGTATCTTTAAAAAATAGGTTGACCGCTTTAACCGCGTTAGATACGGAAGTATAAATAAATAATTACATAAGATTGATAAGTCACACGGGAAGCAATCGACACAGTTTTAGAACAACTAAACGGTTTCCTTACGACTTAGGTATCAAAAGGGTTAAAATAGGATTGTAGTTTAGAGGTTTATCATTGTTAGATAACGTTGGTATAATGTGAAAAGCACAACCAAAACATGAAGTCAGCACGTCACTAGAACACACGATAAAATTACTAGCAAAGATGCAGGCACATTTGCATTAAACGGCAAATTGAATATACACCCCGAGCAACTAAATTCTGTCTTGGCATATGTGGATTATTATTTTTCTGTAGTTCTGTTCAACCATAAGTGAAATTATGTGTTGTAAATGCTATAGGCTATGGAATATGAATAGTTATGCCAATCAATTTTCAAAAAGAGGAAGAACATAAACAGTCCAGTCTATAAAACTATGTAATGAGAGCTGCAAATCTTTATCATCTCAAAAAGATATTCCAATATCAATTATTTAGTTTTCAAGGAAGCAGGTAGACGGCCGCGTTGCTTCTACGAAGTTTTAGTCATTAACATCCTTTAGTGTAGATTTTACAATAGACGGTTGTTTTTTAGTGGTACACAAAGTATTGAAATGGTTCACGCCACTGTGAAAACCAGGCGGACCTTGGCTATATATATTTTAACCCATTCGTCTTTGTGTACCAGGCCGCGTACCATTGTAATATGCAGTTCTCGTACGAAGGCCAAGAAAAGGATCTCGCAAAAAACGCTTTATTTTGGTTTATCAAATATACAGGGCGACAACTATGTAATCCTAATTTAAATTAACAATACTTTTCACGCAGTTTTTTATATTTATGTTTAGGTTATTACTTACCTCTGGCACAAAGGGTAATAAGGGTTTTGGCATGTTTCTGGACCATCTCATAACTGATGTTCCATTTTTCTTCTAAAGGGGGCAGCCTGTTAAAAAGGTGTTTAAGGAAATCGTGGGGTGTTACGGCTGATATATCCCATTTTAGTTGACTCAAGACTAGAAGTTCCCATCGCTGTAACAAAGAAAATATATAAAAGGTATTGTTATGATCATTTCATTATATTGAAAATTAATAAGTAGGTAAGGCTTTTATTTCCCAAAAATGTATTTATGTAAATATGTTAGTTGCATATTTCTTTGAAATGCACATAGGTTTGTATTAGTATAGTTGCTCAAAATGATTTTTTATTAGTTTTTTATATCCATCTTCTAGAAACTATTTCTAAGTTAGAATCTTTTATATATAACACACGTTTAAACGCTTTATATGCAGAATATTATGGTTAAATAGAAACACAAATAAAGAATTATGGAGCTTAACTGATGAATAAAAATAGGAATGACAATTAGGAAACTTAAATGGAGATGAATTGGTCATAAGTTAAAAAAAACTGGCAACAATGATTGCTAGACAGGCTCTGCATACATAAGGCTCCAGGAAAAAGAAGGAAAGGAACACCACATATGAAAAAAAAACAATATAAAAGGGACTAAAAGAAACCTTGGCTTCTATAGTGAGTTGGCGAATTATCTTAAGTCCAGACGTTTGTCTTTTGCGGCATGCAAATGATCGCCAGTGTTAATTAAGCCTGTCCAGTTCTTTATGCTCCGTAGCCACATTTGTTTGCGACCTACTCTTCTCTTGCCTTTAATCTTCCCCTGGATGATTAGTTGAGGAATTGCGTATTTTTTCCTCTCAGAATATGGCCGAGGTATCCAATTTTTCGTACCTTAATCAAATTGAGTAGTTCTCTCTCAGTATTTGAATTTCTTTAGACTTCCTCGTTTCTCGCTCTATCTGTCCATGGTATGCGGCGCATTCTTCGCAACGTCCACATTTCGAAGGCCTCTAACTTATTAATGGAAGGTACTCTTAACGTCCATGTTTCCATGCCGTATAACAATATGGACCATACATAGCATTTAACCATCCTGTAGCGGAGATTGAAGGAAAAATTGCGGTTACATAGTAACGGTTTAAATTTGATAAAAGAATGGAAACCTTAGCAAGGAATTAAACAAAACGATAACAGGAAACAAAAGAAAATGAAAAAATCTGAGAAAGAAGATCTGATAGGACAGATTATCTTTTAAAGCGTGAGCAGTATCTTCTAGCGACTGGATCTTTCAATATAATGATAACAGTTAGAGACGCAGTAATAGCTTTATTATTTTATTTAAACGTACAGTAGGAAAGCTGTGGTTGTAAGTTTTTATTTGCTGGTACAAAAATTTACGTTTATAAGACAAAACATGATAACTGTCAACAGAAAGCTATACTAATTATTAGAGGCGGTTAGATAACGTTTTCAAATCTGTATTAAAGATTACCACTTTAAAATTCTGGGTGATTTAAACCTGGATATTTAAAATTATATAACAGAAAAACAGTTTTGTTGATATTATCTTTATTTACTCCAATTTCAAGATAATGTTCGACAAATAAAGGTTTCCCTGATCAGTTTAAAGTCAACGTTTAGGTAAATATGTTTAAATGGACAGTTATTGAGAAATATCAAATTAAGCATACAGTTATAATCGTTTTACAAGTTCGACAAACAATCGGAAATAGAACACTAACGGAAATAAATAGCAATTGACTGATTAGAGTGATTTCGGAATGTACTAACTTAATTTTTGAGAGTAATAAAATTAACGCATGTGTTTCATAGTTGTTATATCAGTAAAAATTACAGATATTTATCTAAAGGCAAACCCTAATACAAAAGCCTTTTTCTCGCAGTTTTCTTCTTTATGTCTCATATCAGACTTACCGACGTAGATGATCACCATTGCGAAGGCTTCCCAATCTTCTGCCACATGGAATACTTATTGTCCTGCATTTGTCCATTCACGAATGTTCTTTCTCGCAGTACTTAAGTAAATAGTGATCACTAAATTAGTTATGTTAATAAAATTTGGTATACAGCATACAGGCTTATCTTGGCAAAACCAATAAATTTTTATTCATTTTTTTTTAATTTGCTAGCCATGAAAAATTTTAACTTAAAATTTAGTTCCGGCCAAATGGTTCTTGGTGTGGTGTGGTTTCTGAAAGTACAATGTCTAGAATATGAAGACACTTTTCATCAACTGAGCGACACTGATAGGGGAGGGATAGTTGGCCTAATAGAAGCCAAACTATGTTTTTGGAAAAGGTTAGATACTGTGTTAGATATTATCAGGCATGGCGTGAAGAAGGCCGAATACGAAGATCGAGGGCTATAAGGCGCCGTTGAAGAACAACAGATTGTCAAGATCGTCACCTAAGGTTGCCAGGTCTATTGAAAACCAACGGTTTATAGAACATGAAGACTAATTGGTATGCGAACAATTTCGGTCACACTGGGTGCTAGTTCTTACCCCCGAATATCGAACGATTTACTTCGAACAGGAATGGAATGGAGTTGTTTTTAATGATAAATCTAGATTCTGGTTAGTTATCCATGATGGCCAAGCCAGGGTCAGAGGACGTGGTGAAAGACGAAATGTATTTATGGTGTAGGGTGTCATCGCTTAAGGTTGAATGTCACCTCTAATCTTCCTCAGAGGGAACATGGTAGTTCCGCCATAAGTAGAAGGAATCCTATAACCAAATCTCATACTCTAGCTTCAGACGCTCCAACACATCCAATTTTTTAACAGGATAAAGCAAGGCTCCACATTACGAGAGCTACCATGGACTTCTTTGAACAGGTTGGGGTAAATTTTTTGCCTTGATTGCCGGGATCTTCAGATTTATCCCAAATTGAACACGTGTGAGACATGATGGGTAAGGAACTTTAGAGCATACCCCTCAAATTTTGGGAGTCCTTCGGAAGGAGTTCATTAGGCGCATCCAAGTATTGCCAACCGAGATGCAACAACAATTATCCAATGCAAGGAGCAATTATCCTTGCTTTTTCTCTTGTAAGTTTTTTCAATCATATTGAAATTTTGATCGGTTCTTTATTTTGCTATCTAGCACACAATATTTTTGAAATTTAATGATTTATAATGGGTATTCGGAACTATGTATATGTCAGTATATTTGGCAAACAATTCTCACAAACTAATCAAGAAACTGTTGAAAAATAAGTTTTTCGGTCCGATGCGTATACGCCTTCAATCCATATATTGAATTATGAAATTTGATCTTTTTAATCTACAAATAGTTCTAAATTATTTTCCTGGAAGTATTTTCTCTAGTAATAATTACTTGCGCCATCAGAACAATTATCCGCTGGTTCATTTCCTTGGCGTCAGTTAGACTTGGTCGTAATTCAGTCAGATTTATATATACTAAGAAAATGGTGAATGACTATTTACAAACATTTGTTTTCTTGTTTAAACAACAAACAATTTCATCTAGCGGAAGTAACTCATACAAACTAATAAAGATACGTCGCGGAGTAAGAAAAATGTTGCTAAGGTTGTGGCTAGAAATAGATGATTATTTAATTAAAGTCAAAATATACATTTATACCGAGAAAATTTTGATGAATGAATGTTTTGTCGGTTTTTTACCGGATTTCTTTCTCCCATAATCTGAAGAATGAGTCGAATAGGTGGTCAATTCTCTCTACAGGGCGCGGTGAAAAAAAGCGAGAAGTGAAGAAAGGGCCTGCGAAAGGTATCCAGCAAATTAATGTTTTATTATCAGAAGACATAAAAGTAACGCTTGGAGGTGCTCCGGCGCCACAACACAAAAGGTATCCGTCAAGTCCTTATTGTTAGATATATTACTGTCATGAAATGAGAGATGTGAGGCCGAAAAGCAGCTCTCGCCGACTATATATCGCCCAGTAAACGACCGGCTCAACATCCCATGAAGAATTTTCACAATGAGATTCGAAGACCGAAACTCGAAGTGGGGCCGGCAGCCTCTTATTTGTGAATTCTTGGAAGGATAAAACTTGACCTACCTGTTAATCGGTTGGAATTCCAACGTTAACAGGTACCTATATTAAAATTAACAGGTATATTTGGGTGGAACTTGTCCTCTTGTCACTGCGCCGGCGGTATAACGGCATTTTTCGAAAGGAAGTGTCAAATACAAGGGAATAGACTGGGTTCCAACAATTACATCATTGCTACACTAATAAAAGAAGACTGGATTCGTCGTTTTTCAGAATTAACACTTTTTTATTATATCAAATTCCTAAGAAAAATTCTTGTTCAAAAGTTTGCTTAAAAAATTGAGACACTATGACTACATAGTGTATTGAAAAATATTTTTAATATTGGGACAGCAAATATATTTCGTAATATGAACAAAATTATAATGGCATATAAGACAATGTCATGTCCATTAAAAAGAGAAGAAGGAAAACAGGCAAGAGAAGGTTCTTCCATTAAAACAGCACAAATTGTTGCATTCTTATCAATTATTTCTGCATTCTATATTATATGAATGCAAAATACTTACTTTAATCTTTTGTAAATAAAGATTAGGTCATTTATAAAAAACTAATTTATCACAAGAACGAAATTTCATTAACAGGGTTTAGTGATCTGGTTTTAGTACTTTATCGATCAACGGTATCGTTTTTTGGTCGTTAACTGTTGAAGTGTTTAAATATATATGTGAATGAAATTGAATATAAAACTGTTCCAGGAAAACTGACTTGGTCATTGCTTTGGAATTCATGTACGGTAGGAAAGATCACATATACCTACATTAATATGTCCATCACACACTGTGTTGTCACAGAAATTTAATGATGGTATTTGATGGAGGTTCAAAGTCTAAGAGAGTAAAAAAAGTTTAAATAGGAATGAAATGTTGGTTAAGGAGTAATTATTTGAAGTTTGTTAATGACGTATGTGGTTTATACGTGATATTTTACGACATTTAAAGAGATCCTGATGAATAATATATCCCTGAACATTATTGTTTTAATTTAAGTATGAGGAAGACATGTCGATCGGATATTCAAGCGGACCAGACGAGCGAAGCTCACTCACTTCACTGAGAGTGGTCTAGTGGGTTGATGGTTCGAATCCCGGTCAGAAAAGAAAACGTATAAAATC